GGTTCCACAGGAGAGGAGCTTGATAGCTAAAGGCTCTGCCTCCCATTCTACTTCTGTGGACTCTAGGAACCACAAGTAAAACTGCACTCTGAGAAATGGAAGATTACATTTCCAAGCTGAGAAAATTTGCAAATCTGGACTTTCAATCAAAACATTTTTGACAGTCTGGACATTTTTGTCCAGAAGGATCTTCTTTATTGAAAACATTTGTTTCAATATTGGATTCGAACGGTAAAAGGGTTTGTAATAGATACCAGCTGACAAATGGATTTCATGTACAAGTAAAGGTAAGACCATAAACTTTTATTATTTCTAGTTAGAAATAAGCTCAATAGGAATAATTTTAACCTCAAATTAAAAATGGGTCACGTTTGTGTGAAGAATGCTGATATGAGATATAAAACATAACGCAGTGTTTGTTAACAGACAATTTGTTAATGGTTCATTTGTATTTGTAAATCTGACTGTAAAAGAGTCAGAGCCTCACCAGCTGTCAACCTCACCGCACCACTGCTGTTAGGATGATAAGGCTCTACAAGGTCTTTAAGATACGATGGAGCCTTGTCATTAAGGGCTTTGTATGTTAGGAGAAGGATTGTAAAATCTATTCTGGATTTTACAGGGAGCCAGTGGAGAAAAGCTAATATGGGAGAGATATGATCTCTCTTGCTAGTTCCTGTCAGTATTCTGGCTGCAGCATTTTGCATCAATCTCTCCTGAATGCTATTCTTCCTCCATCAGCTCAACTCTTCATCCAAACTAAAATGTTGTGCCTTTTTAACACACTGCTATATCACAATGAAGACTTGGTTACATAAAAAACTACTTTCTCAGTAGTCCTGCTTATAAAGGATAGATTTGAGATCAGCCTGTAAGTCAGAAGAGTTTTTCATAGCCTGGAAAGATAGTTTAATAACATAAGAAAGCCCTTCGTAGTGCCAGAACCGCATTTTATTCATCACTGATTGAGGAAAATAAGAACAACCTCAGGTTTCTTTTCAGCGCTGTAGCCAGGCTGACAAAGAGCCACAGTGCTGTTAAGCTTAACATTCCCTTAGATCTCAGCAGCAATGACTTCATGAGCTTCTTTACAAATAAAATCACAACTATTAGAGAAAAAATTGGTCAGACTATTCCCACAGCTCTCACGGATGTGCCATCTACTACCTTGGCTTTAGAAACATCTGTAAGACCTCATTTCTACTTGGACTACTTCTCTCCCATAGATCTCTCTGAGCTGACCCCAACAATTGTTTTATCTAAATCATCAACATGTCTCCTGGACCCCATCCCGACCAGGCTGCTCAAAGACGTCTTTCCCCTAATCAATACATTCATACTATATCTGATTAGCCTCTCTCTATTAACAGGTTATGTTCCACAGGCTTTTAAACTTGCAGTAATTAAACCTCTAGTCAAAAAGCCTACTCTTGACCCAGGTGTCCTAGCTAATTATAGACCAATATCCAATCTCCCATTTATTTCCAAAATCCTTGAAAAAGCTGTTGCAAAGCAGTTATGTGACCACTTGCACAAGAATGATTTGTTTGAGGATTTTCAGTCAGGATTTAGAGTCCATCATAGTACAGAAACCGCATTGGTGAAAGTCACCAATGATCTTCTCCTAGCCTCGGACACAGGACTTGTCTCCATACTTGTCCTCTTAGATCTCAGTGCTGCTTTTGACACCATTGATCACAGCATCTTACTGCAGAGACTTGAACATGTTATTGGGATTAAAGGAACTGCGCTAATTTGGTTCAAATCTTATTTATCTGAAAGATTTCAATTTGTTCATGTTAATGATGAATGTTCCACACAAACTGAAGTTAGTCACGGTGTTCCACAGGGCTCTGTGTTAGGTCCAATTCTCTTCACTTTATACATGCTCCCTTTAGGCAATATTATCAGGAAGCACAACATAAATTTCCATTGCTATGCAGATGATACTCAGTTATATTTATCTATGAAGCCAAATTAATCAGATCAGCTGGTCAAACTTCAAGCATGTCTTAAAGACATAAGGGCCTGGATGACCTGTAACTTACTTCTGAACTCTAACAAAACTGAAGTCATTGTGTTTGGGCCTGAAAACTTTAGAAATCTGGTCTCTAATCATATAGTTACTCTAGATGACATAGCTCTCGCCTCCAGTACTACTGTGAGGAACCTTGGAGCAATTTTGACCAGGATATATCCTTTAAATCACACATAAACCAAGTCTCTAAGACTGCCTTCTTTCACCTGCACATTATTGCGAAAATCAGGAGCATCCTGTCTCAAAGTGATGCTGAAAAACTGGTCCATGCATTTGTTACTTCCAGGCTGGACTACTGTAACTCTTTACTATCAGGATGTCCCAATAGTTCCCTAAAAAACCTCCAGTTAATCCAAAATGCTGCAGCCAGAGTACTGACAGGAACTAGCAAGAGAGATCATATTTCCTCCACTGGCTCCCTGTAAATTTCAGAATAGAATTTAAAATCCTTCTCCTAACATACAAAGCCCTTAATGACAAGGCTCCATTGTATCTTAAAGACCTCATAGAGCCTTATCATCCTAACAGAGTAGTTCGTTCTCAGAGTGCAGGTTTACTTGCGGTTCCTAGAGTCCACAGAAGTAGAATGGGAGGCAGAGCCTTTAGCTATCAAGCCCCTCTCCTATGGAACCAACTCCCAGTCTCAGTTCGGGAGGCAGACACCCTCTCTACCTTTAGGATTAGACTTAAGACTTTCCTTTTTGATAAAGCTTATGGTTAGGGTTGGATCAGGTGACCCTGAGTCTTCCCTTAGTTATGCTGCTATAGGCCTAGGCTGCTAGGGGGCCCCATGATCCTCTGAGTTTCTCTCTTCCCCTCTCTTGCAGGTAGCCCTGGTTCTGGAGCTCTATGTTTCTGATGAGCAGTCACCAGCCACATCAACCTGACCAGTGTTTGATTGTTTGTTGTGTCCTGTTGCTTTTCCACTTTTCTCTCTCCTCGATCCACTCACCCCAACCAGTCGAGGCACAAGGCCGCCCACCAAGAGCTGGGGTCTGTTGGAGGTTTCTTCCATTAAAGGGAGTTTTTCCTCCTCACTGTCGCCAAGTGCTGCTCAAGGGGGATTTGTTGGGTTTTCCCTCTGTAATAATAGTGATAAGAGTAAGGCCTAGACCTTACTTTGTAAAGTGTCCTGAGATGACTTTTGTTGTGACTTGGCACTATACAAATAAAATTTGATTTGATTTGCAGAGCTCTCATTCTCATGACATCCATTTTGGATTTGCCTGAAACACTTCTTGGTATGAACACCCAGGAGAGTCACTTATATCAGCGACTGTAAATGATTAAAAGGTTTTCAATCCCTGCCAAGGTGGTGCATCTCCTTCTGAGCGTGGCCTGGTGTGACGTTTCCTGTTTGAGATGTATCCGTGCAGTTCCACAGCATCGGAGCACTCTCTGCTACAGGAGCAGCTGCTTGTACGATACCAGGTCATGAAGAGAAAGTGGCAGCAGTTCCTTCCTTCAGCTGTGCAGATGCACCTCAATGGCACAGATGGTAAAACATGCACAAACTCATACAAAGTTACTGTTTGTTTGTCTTTTTTCATCATTCTGCTTTCTCCTTTTAAAAAGATCTATGAGCCTTTTCCCATTCCAGCTGAGCTGATCGCAGCTGTCAGGTACTTTGACCAGAGGCAGGCACAGGCCCAGCTACAGACCCAGGAACAGTCTGAGGAGGTCAAGGACAGGCTGGAATTCTTGGAGCTGCAGGCACAAGTTATATCAGTTAAATATATGTCATTGTAATTTCAGTCTATATATTTTAATAGTATCTTTTTGATTTTTTTATCATATCTGCAATGGTTCAGTTTTTCAGATTTCAGGTGTAACATAATTTTTTTTCCTTTGGTTATGTTGGGTATTTTCAACAGTATGGACTCCATTAAAGCTGTCAGTATTGAGATCATAGTCAGTAGTGGTTAAATGTATTTGACTCTATGTTCCTTCTTGTTAACAGATCATATTTGAGCGTGTCACATCTGACCATGAGGAGCTGCAGGAAGCCATTCGAATCATCAACAAGGATGTACCAAGAACTAACAGAGACCTGCCGTAATACCAGTGAGTGATTGTGAGCCAGTGTTGTCATTAAGATACAGTATTAGTGCATGGAATTCAAGTGGTGACTCGTTACATGATGTTTTTTTAAGCAACTACACAGATCATTGACTGTTAGGGTTATTCTACCATAAACAAACGGACTCAGTAGACCAAGGTCGATTTTCTTTATATATGGATTTTAATACTTGCAGCAAGGGAGGATTCAATACATACAATTCAGTTGCATGAAAACAGTGCTCAGAGAGGCAGTCTCAGCTGAGCCTATTTATACAGTCAAGTTGGTACTGTAGCAGTTCAGGAATTTCAGCTCTGTTAATCTGTCTCTGTCATGTGTTGATGTTTCCAGATGGAGCCAGGTGCCCAAAATTCTGCATACTTGTGGTTTGGTATTTGTGAGAACTATGTGGACCAGCTCAAGCACAAATACATCATCTGCTCTGAACCAAAACAGTTGCGCATACAAATGTATAACATCTTCTTGAGCATTTGAATAAGCCATAACAAAGCATCTTCTCAACATTCTTCTTGAGTCAGTCACAGTCGAGCCATAACAAAGCATTTTCTCAACACTGACTTTTGGCTTAACTTAGTTGACATAGAAGGGCGAGGCAAGGCAGCTTTATTTATATAGCACATTTCATACAGAGAGGCAATTCAAAGTGCTTTACACAGACAAGGAACAACAGCAGCATCATTAAAACCAGAATAAAATCAGCTAAGACAAAATGAAGACATTTCTTATTATTATTTCTGACCCTCTCATGTATGTAGTTGGGGAGGACAAAAATATAGACACACCTCTGAATATAATGTAGTCCAGTATAACACACCTTTAACTAGGACCTCAATAATAAACATATAATTGAATTTATACTTTTATGACAATTTCACAAAAAACTGAAACATTTTGAGATGTTCAGGTGGAAGTGTTTTGCAGTGAATTGCATACAATAGTACAGGTGTACCTAATAAAGTGGCCTGTATATATGCTATACTAATAATTTATGTGTCTGCAGGGGTGAAGGGTCAGGCAATCTGTTAGTGTTGAGAGACATCCTCATCACTTACGCTGCTTTTCATCCAGGTAAACGATAAGAACAAGCCCAGATCAAACAACGCTAGAGGCCGTGAACTGTGCGATTAAACACACTGCCTGTTTGTTTGTGCACCACTTGTCTTGATTGTTGATCTAGAGGTCAGTTATGCCCAGGGAATGAATGACCTGTGCAGCAGGTTCCTGGAGGTTCTTCACTCGGAGGCCGACACTTTCTGGAGTTTCTCCTGCTACATGGAGAAGTTCTCCAAGGACTTCAGGGCTGATGGTCTGCACAGAAAACTAGGTGCAGTTACAAGTTTTTCTTTTAAAATCAGAAGTAGTTGATGCAATAAAATACTCTATATAAATTACAGTCTATAAATTAGCTGAATAATAAGCATGTGAAAAAGTTCAGTGTCTTCTAGAGTTGGAAGCAGCCCTTCTGAAGGAACTGGATCCACAGCTCTATGCTCACTTATCCACAGACAGCATGGAGAGCTTCACCTTCTGCCACAGGTCTTGGATATATCTATATTTATATTATTCTCTATACCTGAACATGATTAAATGTGTTCTTATTCCACATCAACATTTCGTTTATGCTTGTGCATGCACTCCTTTAAGGTGGCTGCTGCTGGGTTTCCAGAGAGAGTTTGAACACAGTGACGCGCTACATCTGTTCGAGATCTTGAGCTGTGACCACCTGGAGTTCGTCTTCCAACAAGCAGACAGCGCTCATTATGAGGAACGGCTGGCACGAAAATACAGGGCAGGTGAAACCCAGAACTCAAGCTGGCTGAAGGGATGTTACCTCTGTTAAATATCTGACATTAACATTGCGTCTCAGTCTGTATGTGTTTGTCTTATGATGTTTGTTGACAGATGGTAGTATTGGGTCAGAGCTGCAGACGATCAACACTGACTTCACCTTTGAGCTCTTCATCTGTACAGCCATCCTGGTAGAGAACAGAGAGTCTCTGCTGCAGTGCCGAGATGATGCCCAGCTGATCCAGTTTACTAGCAGGTTTGTCCATATGTTAGACATAAAAATCTCTTCACAAAAAGGGACTGTGTGTTTGTAAATCTGTGTGAATATGTTGGTTTTATGCAGCCTTCAGGGAACACTGGACCTGAACAGCACACTGAAGAAAGCAGAGCACCATTTCTACAACTACTGCAGGCGCTGTGCTTGGGGCTATATGAATGGGCAGTGCAGAGCACACAAGAGCAGAGAACAGGACTTTCTTTATCCGCAGTTTATTTGTTTTAAAGTGATAGCTACTATTTAAATACCTGATGTCAAAGACTCATAAAATGATTATGTAACAAGGGACATACAAGCCCTCTCTGGAGTTCTGATGGCACATATTCTTTGTCTTAGTTTTCACTGCTGAGGGAAACACACTGATGTACAGATGTTATTGATGTTTATTATAAATGTACAGTATTTATTACATAAATGTTGATGAACACTGTCATTTTGGTTGCTCTCCTGAACTTCTATGAATATGAAAAGCTTAGGTTCAGAAGCAAAGCTGTAAAGGATTTGTTCCTCTAGGTTATGTGCTGTAATATTCAGCCTGAAGAAGACAACGACATGGCGGGCATGTCCCAACAATCTGGTATGTTTCAACAGGCGGCGTCTGTAACAGACTGTGGTTATATTTAATGCCAGATGGCCTGTGTGTCAGAGAGGCCTGAGTAACATGAACAGATGTGCAGTTGTTGAGCTCTGGCAGAGGAGCCATGCAGTAAAGGGAAAAACTTACTGTGTCTCAAATAGAAAGCACAGAAAAAACTGTTACTCAATACAGTTACTACAGATTATTTCATATGTGGTACTGCCAATATTCATATTCAGTTTTGTTATTTATATATATCTTATAAAATACAAGAGCTACTTTAAAGTTTGTTTGTGCTTTGAATGATAAACTCTGACCTGTGCAATAACCCCTCATTACCCTATTAAGTAGAAGACCATATATAATTTCACTATGTGCAATAGCTTGTGCAATATTTGAAGCTCCCCATTTTACCTGCTATCTTATCCCTGTATCCACAATTTTATTGACTATTTTATATTCTTGGGTATTCTTGTTTTTTTGTATTTTGTATTCTTGGGTGATCTTATACTTAGACTAGGCGCTCGTTCTTCTGGCTTTAAACGCTTTACTCTTACTGATTTCGGGAGAACCCTGCACAAGAATTCCTATATGCCTATATTGTTTGTTTATGCATAAATGGCAAAACAAAATCTTGAGTCTTGGGACTATTTTCATAACCAGGGCCTAGTGGTAATAGATAAGCTAGAATAAATGACTGCCCAAAACATCCTTTGGAATCTGCTTTACCACAACTTGTATAGTTGTATATTCATGCATACAGTAGGAATACTGTCCAGTCAGTATAGCACAGCACACATCAATATTCACAGTTTGTATCTCAAAAGCGAGCTAATGATACGAGCCATCTGTTTCAGTTCCTATACTGAAAATAGCGTCAACATCTGTCTGAGATTTGAGACATTTTATGATGAAATGTTTGCACCAGAGTACACACTATCAAATTTGTTCCAGATGTTAGGTTTCCACCCAGAGTCATTCTCCAAACATTTTAAAATTCAGTTAATCAGGTACTGTGTTGTTCAGTGTCCTGAGAATACAGTCATTTACATAAACAACTTTTTCCATGTTGAAGAAGCGCTGATTTGTAATAACAGTGATGCTCACATCATAATGAGAATGTTTGGTTCAACCCTATACAACCATTTGTATCATATTTGCCACATGAGTTTCTGAGCAAAAAAAAGTTACCAAAAATGCCCCGTGTATCAAATGTGATACAAAAAAAAATTATCTAAATAATATGGCACATTTTTTCCTATATGCCTGGACTGTCTGTCTATGCATGAATGGTAAATAAAAATCTTAAATCTTGAATCTTGAATTTTCTTTTGGATTTTGTTAAAAGATTTAATAAACATCTCAGTTCCAAAATATTAGAATGTTCTGGCTATTTTTTTTTTATGTGTCAGGCTTTACAGGGTTAAGTGTCAAATCTCCAGTGGTAGAAGAAGTACTCAGATTGTTTACTTAATAGTACAGTATAAAAGTACTCTGTTACAAGTAAAAGGTGGAGCTCATTTGAACTACAGTATATGCTTCTATAGGAATTTGAAGTACTGCTGTGTAACTTGTTATCCCACAGAGGATCAATAAATTCTTGTGAATATACTTTTATTTGTTTTGTTAATTTTATTCTGAACGTTATCAAATAAATGTAGTGGAGTTAAAAAGAAACAACAGTTGCCTCTAAAATGTACTGAAGGCAAAGTATGAAGTAGCAGAAAATGAAAATAAAGTACAGATACCTTAAAACTGTATTTAAGTCCAGTACTTGAGTAAATGTACTTTGTTACTTTCCACCTCTCCAAAGCTCTGTCATTAGACATTTTTAATTTTTCTTTTTTGTGTTGCACAACCAGTGCAGGGCTACAGAGGTAACAAGAGAAAGCTTTTTTCAAGTAAACCTAGTCAGTAAGGAGAAATGCGGGCCTAGAACTTTCCTTGGTGGAGTCACCTGACACCCTGGTGGGTTCTCCTTGCACAGCGCTCTATATACAGTGGAGAGCAGAGACACTCATTCTCTTAGTCCGCCTGACAGGAGACAGAAAGGAGAGCTGGAGGGGAGCTCAGAAAAACAATGAACCACTTTAACTCAGTAAACGCTCAAGTCTTAAACATCTGCAGCACAAGGTAACCCCTTCAATAAGAAGCATTGCATCCAGCCTGGCTTCATAGTCTGCCTCGCTTGTTGCTTTAAAAGCTTAGAGAGCCCATGACATGCTTTTTCTTGGTGAATTATCATTATAGACATGACCTAATGCTCAACAAATGAGGTGTATGTACTGTATGTTCTAGTATTTCTATGCAGAAGCAACTTGGCTTGGCAACCCTTGTAACTCCAAATCATTTGTAATTGTTTCAGACTCAGATAGCCAGAAAGCCTCTTCCTTAAAACGAGAGGACAGCTCATGAATGTGCACAGTTCATGTTGCCAGTATTGTGTGGACAGCACACACAATGAACGTGAGGGCATTAATTAATTTGAATTTCGCCTTCATAGACAGGTAAGCAGTGGTATATGTACCAATGAAAAGAGATTTGTAACACTCTAAACAAAGTGGGTAATTGAGAAACCTCATATTTTAACTGGCATAATGCAGACATAGTTACTTCTCCAGCCTTACAACAATTCTCCCTAAGGTTACAGAAACAAGGCATTAGCAGACATGCAGAGTGTTTGTTTTTTCCAACTTACCTGCCTGAAATTAATTTCAATGCTTTGCGACTGTGTATGGTCATGTGGGGGAAGGCACAGCGACCACCAGTTGGATTTACCGACCTTGGAGCTGCTTGAAAGGGAGTGAAGTTTCCACTACTCAGTGGGACTTAATGGTAAGTTTAAAAAACACATTACATGTCTGTTAATGCCTTTTTTTCCGTGGAGAAGTTACTGTCTGCATCTCTTTTTATTGGTACATATACCGTTGTTTACCTGTCTATGAAGAAGAAATTCAAATTAATTAAAGCTTCTGCAGTTCATTGTGCTGTCCACTTGCAACGCAGCACCAGCAACAGGAGATGTGCGAGTTCAGGAGCTACCCTCCTTGTTTTTAGGAAGAGGCTCTCTGGTGTTATCATTCTGAAATATGCTCCATATATAGTTTTATCTCATTCGGTGCCAATTTCTTGTATTGCTAGAGGCGCTTGAATAGTCAATTTCTGGGCAAATGACAGTGTTAAAGTCACCAGCAATGATAATATGAGTGCAGTCACGTAGTAATGAGAAAATATTTCTTTCAGTATGCGAATACAACGTCTGGGCTATTGTCAGCTGGCTGGGGCATCATTAGGTGGACTGTTTAATAAAATAAATGTTAAAGTCCCATAAAAAATATTAGCTTTAAGAATAGCCTAGTAGAATAACTCTCAGTGACCCGACATCACCATATTGAATATCCCCTTCTCTCGCGATACTCCCAGCTTCACCCACAGAATTCTTTTAGAATGATGTGTGTGGGACTTTTGTAGCTGGTAAAGCTCTTTGTTAACACTCAGGGCTGGAGGTAAGTCATCCTATTTTCAACACAAATATCAACGAACGTTTTCAACACAATTTCATGTGTTTCAGAGATTAGTATTAGTGTATATGATGAAATGCTGAATCTGACAGTCATTTATGAAAAAAAATCATATATCAATTGTAATGTCTTCAAATTGTAACTGCTGTGGAAAATAAGCATCATGCTTTTTGTTTGTTAGTTTTTTTTTGTTGTTTAGTTTTGTTTATTTTATAATTTGGAATTCTTCAGGGTGATTTAATTTAGCTGATTTTGCTTTTCTGAAATCAAAATTTTCATTTTTAAAGGAAAGCTCTGTTTTGTTCTAGCTTTTTATTCAGTACTGAGAACAACTTGACAGTAACTGACCGAAACTCAGGAATTTCAGTATTTAACTTAAATAGTTTTACTGCTTTAGAAACAAGTGGATTTATCTTAGTCCATGGACAAACCTACCTTTTTGGTCTATGAACAAGTTTGCTTTAAACTGCTTTGTACGTTGTGGTTTTACTTTTATCTCCATCATTTCATTTCTGTTGTCTTTTTTTAAACATGGTCTACAGTATGTGATCTGTATGTACAGTATTCTGTGAATTATTTGACTCCTACTCTTTTTTTCATTGCTGCCTATTTTCCCCATATTTTTAAGATTAAATTTCTTCGCTTAATAAAAGTTCCAAAGTAACTTGTTTTTCTGTACACAATGAAGAAAATGTACACTGTGTTATCATTTGGGACCGCTGTTTGTTTTTCTCCCACCCATCCACAAAAACATGTTCTGGTTATATAGTCGAAAAACAGAAGAAAATACGGGCGAGGACTTTAAGTGATGCTCCACCCAAACAGATCTTCAGACGTTCACCCTCTGTAGACTTGAGTTGGCGTTGTCAAGCTTTAGAAATGCAGGAAATATTGCCCTCTGCTGCTTCATTGTTGACAGTTCTTTTGTGAGTCTGTGAATCTGTCCTATGTGTCTCAGTTTTATAAAACTTCAATACTGAATTGCTTCAGTGCACCTTTAACATTTGAGCCATTAGATATACCAGTACTAAGCATCAATATGAAAAAGAACCACATATGTATTTTACTTTTTTCTTTTTC